TTATCTTGTGTGACAAGTAGTAGTCAAAATCTAGCTCTGCCCACAACAGCATATAAAATAGCCTCCAGGCTGTAATTCTAAGTTTGTATGAAATGTGTTTAGACTTGGGTCCTATTCTATGCTTGAAAACATCCCCAAATTCAAGACTCCAAAACCCCAAGCGTGTCAGGTTGTCTTAGCCAGTGTTCTATTGCTATGAAGAGACTCCATGACCAAGGTGACTTTTATAAGAGAAAGCGTTTAATTGAGGCTGGCTTGCAGTTTCAAGAGTTTAGTCCATTATCGTCACGCTGGAGAACATGGCAGCCCACAGGCTAGAAAAGTAGCTGAGAGTTCAACATCTGGATCCAAAGACAGCAGCAAGAATGAGACTGGGCCTGCCTTGGCCACGCCTCCCAATCCTTCTCAAGCAATGCCACTCCCTGATGACAAAGCATTCAAATAGATGAGCCTATGGGAGCCATTCTTATTCAAACCATGAGGATCCTAAGCATAGAGGTTCATTCAGTGTGGACACGTGTTAAAACTTTATTGTGAAGAAGCAGCAGTCTGTGGAGCAAAGACAAAGTGCACATGAAATTTCAGAGAGCAAGCCAATGTGCTGGAGATGACGGTATCTAAGACTTGGCATGTAAGGCCAAACACAGGGGGGGGCCCGCAAATGCTTATCTTGATATTTGTTTCTGCAAAGCCAAAGGTAGAGAATGTAAGATACATACTTTATATAACTGATTTAAAAATATGTTTTGAATTTAAGACTGTGTTTAAAAAAAAAAAAAGACCCCCACCCATTCTGTTAAGAGTTATGTACAAAATAAAGTCTCCTGGGCTGGAAGTGCTTAATGAATGCTTGTGTGTCTTTCTGTAATATTAGCAGAGACACCTAGTCATGGTGCTGCAGGCCTGTAATTCTAGTGCCTGTGAGACTAAAGCAGGAGGAGGTCATGAGTTCAAGGCCAGCCTGGGCTATATAGTGATATCTCAAAAACAAAACAAAACAAAACAAAAAACTAGGAAACAAAACCACAAACAAACAAAACCCCATAAAAGGACAAGTGCAGGTCTCTTAATATTTATCCTATCTGGAAAAAATGCTCTCAGAAAATATCAAACCAAAACATCAGATGGTAAGATAAAGATCCTTTTTGGAAATAGGATCTCCTTCTGGAGTCTAGACTGACCCTGGTGAGATTATAGGCAAAAGCTTCCATGCCTGGGGGGGATTACATATATTTTTTTGGTTGTTGTTTGTTTGTTTGTTTGTTTGTTTGTTTTTTGAGACAGGGTTTCTCTGTGTAGCCTTGGCTGCCCCGGACTTGCTTTGTAGACCAGACTGGCCTTGAACTCACAGAGATCCTCCTGCCTCTGCCTCCTTGAGTGCTGGGATTACAGGTGTGCGCCACTGCGCCTGGCTTTTTTTTTTTTTTTTAATGGTTTTGAATTAAGTTTGTGACACTTAAAAAAACTTAAATTTCTTTCTCTACAGATAATCTCTCTTTTAAGACACTTTATCTTTTTTTTTTTTTTTTAACAGTTCATTGTTTATTTGAAGAGGTTTCTGCTTATCATCCTTGAGGGAAGGCTCTTGGGTTTGTGGTTTGTGTTTCTGATTTTGGAAAAAAAATTTTTTTTGGTCAATCTTGGTTTTCTTTCTGAACTTTAATCACATGTTAGACACTTGGCATTATTCTACAGTGCTAGCTTCCCTGCCCCAAGATAGGGTTTCCCTATGTAGTCCTGGCTGTCCTGGAACTCTGTAGAGCAGGCTGGCCTTGAGCTCAGAGACCTGCCTGCCTCTGCCCCCTGAGCGCTGGGACTAAAGGTGTGAGCCACCACCACCCCGCTGGTTATAGCTCTTTTTAAAGTTCACATTTTCCTTAGTTTTTGTGATTTGGTTTGGAATGCTCTGCTAATCTATTGCTAGATTCAGTGCAATAGTCTTGGTCTCTAATACTGTGTTTTATGAAATTCTAATGTTTCTGTCCACAATTTTTATGTTTCTTTCTTTGTGGGTGTGTAGAGTACAGAGGACAACTTTTGGGGATCTGTTCCTAGGCTGCAGGCTTGGTGGCAGGCTCCTTTATGTGCTGGATCATCTCCTCAGCCCTGCGATGTTCCATTTTAATAGTTCTCATCTCTCAGCTTATAATTCTCCTCTGTTTGCTCATCTTCTCCACTAGATGTTTGACCATACTGATCATGATTTAGTGACTCTGATGGTTCCAAAACTTCCATCATCTCTCTGTACCTGTTATCCTTTGACAACGGGCCGTTATTAAATTAAGTTATTAAATGCTGAACATCTAAACGAAGAGACTGAGGTTAGTGATATGTTTGCCTGCTAATGGCCATATTGCTTTTTCTTTTGTGCCATTGGTGTGAAGGCTGAATGAGAGAAGTCAGGTGTTGTACTGGTAGATTTTAAGTTCCACTGGGAGTGGCTGACCTCCGCTTGTGCTTGGAATACTGGGTGCTGTGCTCCAGTGGGTCTGTCCTGCCTGCTCCAAGCACGGAAATGTTTCTTCATCTTCATGTTCCTCCTGATGGCACCGTCACTGCTCAGCCATTGGTGTTGGGCTGGGGTAGGAGTAGAAGGCTTTTCTTTCTATCGGCTGAGCCTCAGACTCAGGCCTTGGGGGCAGGTTTTCTCAGCATGCCTCCCTCTTCTCCCATGGCAGCCAGACTCTTGCGTCTTGCTTTGTGTCTGTGTTAGCTCTTAGGTGGGAGAGCCTTTCTTGTCACTCCTAGTGTGACTGGTGCCTTGTAAAAGTTCTGGGCTCTGGACAGCGTCTGTTCCAACTCCAGGGGCAGAGAGGTTTGTGCCTCTGTCACTTCCTCAGAAGCAGCAGGTCTTTGTTGTCCCTTCCTTAACAGTGCAAATTGGCTACTTCCTTCGTGGGAGTGTCTGTCCCCTCCATAGCACCTGGGGTCACTGAAGAGGGCTCTTCGATATCCTATCCTGTCCCCACCTTTCTCCCACGCCCATCCTCTAAAAATGTCATCTTGCTGCCACCCAGCACTGAGGAGGCTGAGGCAGAGGATCATGAGTCAGGCCAGTCTAGACTACAGTGAGACTGTGTGACATGGAGGCTCTGACCAGGCCTTTCCCTCTTGCTCTGTGTCTGCCCCGAGCTCTCTCTGGAAACCTTGCCTTTCTCTGGGCTTCAGGTTTCTTGGTTCCATTGTGGCCTCAGCTCTCTGGTGGCTTCAAGAATACTTAGGATTTTGTAAATACCCTACTCTTCTCTTGTGCTCTCTTGATGGCATTCAGCACATAGGTGAGCTGGGATTTGGAACTCTTCGCTAAAGTGCGTCCGTATGCATTAGCGTAAGGCTGAAATGAGACCTCAGGGATAGCTGGGGAACTGAGTGGGGAGGCTCAAACTCTCGTGTTCCTTAGTCTCAGCAACTATCGAAACAGTTAAAGGTTCGGCGAGTTGACCTTGGATTTCCCGGACAGCATGTCAGCACTCTGTGCCCAGGGGCCTTTGCGCTCCACACCACTCGCCTCTAAATCTTCAGAGGCAAGGGCTGGAGCTCAGGGTCTCGCTGCACGCTGGGCAAAGGCTTTGGCAGCTGGACAAGCAGGGCAGAGCCTGTGGGGTCCTGGCAGCAGCCACCCTGCTGGGGAGGAGGGGTGCCCGAGTGTAAGGCACGAGCAGGAGACAGCCAGTCCAAACCAGGCCCCGTCTTTAGCCAGGTTCTGTTTGCTGTGTATTTCTTAAAAGCCTGCTTCTCTCTCTCAGCCTTCCGCCACCTTCCTCCTAAGCACTTTAAAAATAGTATAAGCCGTGAAGACAATCTCAACACATTAAAACGCATTCTTGCATAAGACTATAATAGAAAATATTGGGAGATGGAAAGATTTCCGAAGCATAGAGATAAGTTGACTTCCACAGTGCTTGCGGGTTAACTGTTTTAAAAGCATTTATTAAGTTTTAAGTGTTCTTAGGCAGATGTCCTATTGTATTGCTGAACAGGATTCTAGTTGCAAGTGTGTGTGTGTGTGTGTGTGTGTGTGTGTAAAGAATTCCAGTGAATTTCTTAAAGTCTAAGATGCACACTACCCACATTTTAATCTGTGCAATTAAAATTTGTGTTACATTTTGATAATATATCTTGGCTTAATTTTCATTTTTCAAGATTTATTTTTTTATTATTATTTTTTTTTGTGTGTGTGTGTGTGTGTACATGTGTGTGTATGACCTGGATTTACTGCCTGAGGAGGCAAGAAGAGGGAGTCAGAACCCCTGGAGCTGTAGCTATAGATGGGTGTGAGCTGCCGTGTGTTTGTGTGTGTGTGTGTGTGTGTGTGTGTGTGTGTGTGTGTGTATGGGGTACTGAACTCACCCTCAGGAGAACAGCAAGTACTCTCAACTACTGAGCCATCTCTCCAGCCCCAACTGGCATTTTCCTCCCTTGGGAAATAACCTTAAAGTGAATTTTAGATTTTAAAAAATTCACTAGAATGCTTTACACATGCACACAGGCACACACACACACACACACACACACACACATAAACTCACATACTCACACACGCACTCACACACTCACATAGACTCACTTGCAAAAATTCTGCTGAGCAACACAATAGGACACCTACCTACAAGCACTACCTACAAGTGCCCTCAAAAGAGATACCCTACGTATGAAAACGTGCAGCATTACATAGATGATTTTATAGATTAAGGACCCGATTACATATATATTTATCTATAACTAAAATCTGTTATTTTTATTTTTATTTTTTTTGAGCTGGAACCTTCTTGACAAGGAGTGCTACATGTCTGTGCTGGAAATCTTATGTTTAGATTTTCTTTTTCCATTTTATTTTATTTGGAATGAAGTTGAACGATCTTAGCTCCAACTATGATAAAAGGAACACGCCTGTTCCTGTGTGGCATTACATCTTCACTTTCCTCTGTGCTTTCTGTTTTAATTATACCTGTGACAGGACGTCAGGCACTCCGTAGTTTTTCTCCCTGTTGTTTCTATAACCACTGGCTGCCTGTACTTGGTGCCGCATCGCACACACAAGGAGAAACTGCTTGAGGGAGCAGTTGGCGCTGTGGTTCCTGGGGTAGCCAGAGGTGGACCTAAGGTATGTTCTTCTCTTACCTTGCTTTTTGGAACAGGTCTCTCGGTGAACCTGACACATTCCCATTTGGCCAGTGAGCTCCATGGATCCTCCTGCGTCTGCCCCTCCCCACTCCACAGTCCATGTCACTGTGACGTGGGTGCCAGCGATCTGAACATAATAAGCTTTCATGCTTGCCCAGCCAATGTCCTACCCACTGAGATAGCTCCCTACGTAGCTCTTGCTTATTGTTTTGTTGGGATAGATTATAAATTGTCTTAATCTCACAGCATTCTGGATGCTGTGCTTGTCTAGCAAAAGATGAGGAAATCTTACTCTCTTTTCTGAAATGAAAGACTGATAAAATAATAATAATAACATTTCTGTCATTCTTTCTCCTTCTTTCATCTTTTGTTTTGTTTTGAGACAGGGTTTCTCTGTGTAGCCCTGGCCGTCCTGAAACCGTGTAGACCAGGCTGGCCTTGAACTCAGAGATCTGCCTGCCTCTGCTTCCCAAGTGCTGGGATGAAAAGCATTTGCCACCATACCTGGCAATAATAATAATAATAATAATAATAATAATAATAATAATAATAATAATAAT